CGACATCAAGTTCTTAGCCATTAGGGAGCGTGTCAAGAATAAAGTTGTATTCATTGAACACATTAATACTGAGTTGATGCTAGCAGATCCCTTGACTAAAGGCATGCCTCCGTCTAAATTCAAGGATCTGATTCAGAAAATGGGACTTTCGTCCACTTTGTAATTTTGTATATACATTCAGTTTAATAATGAAATTCTTTTGCACTTAAGTTTTTTTTTCTCTTTCAGATACTTCAGATATTTTCTTTGAGTGTGTACACAATTCAGTTTATCTCAATAAGAAAATATACTTCAGTGGACTTGAAATGAACATATGGTTTGTTTCATTAAGTTTGATTACCTAAAGGACTCAAGGACAGTTTGCATTTGATCATAATGGATATTACTTGCGCTAAGGAGGACATGTCATTATGGTTGGTGTAAATCTTGTTCTTGGGTTCCGTATTTGCACCAAGTGGGAGAATGTAACGTTTTCCTTGTGTATTATTATTATTATTATTATTATTATTATTATTATTATTATTATTATTATTATTATTATTATTATTATTATTATTAAGTTTATTATATAATAACAATAATATTTAAGTGGTGCAAATCACTAGGCTGACTAAGTATTAGAACTTAGTCAGCATTAGGTAATTAGTTACCTACATTGATGGGATGTAGGTTATTTAGACTCCCAAGTCCTCTCACTGCTCGGTTGACGTATCATACACCATCTAAAGTCACTGAGAGAAGTGAGAGAAACACAATTAAAACCTACGGAGATTTTACAGCAGCCCGAGGAACTTCTGCTCATCAGACCACGAGTCCCTGGTGATCAAGATCTAAAGCTATGGCTGGAGGTTGGTGATCTAAACTCTGTTTTAATAGCCACGTATTTATTAATTGTCACGTGGATTATGTGCTTACATGTACTTCTAAACCTGCAAAATATTATGAAATAGCAAAAAAATCACTGTTGCTACCTTATTCTAAATAGTAATAAGGATTTAGAAATAACTTAGACAGATCCATCATAAAATATAGAAAAACATAATAAAATGTCTATCAGATTCGAAGTAGGAATGCCATCTCATCCCCCAATGAAATGCCTTAGACAAAAAATGTCTATCTGTTCATTATTCAGCACAAAAAAAACAAAACCACCATCATTCAATTGTTTAAAATTCAAAATTCAGACACACAAACATCTCATCCTGATATTCACAATTCCTTCAGTTTCTCAGTTTTCATAGAATAGAGCTTTTAACACGGTCTAGTATAAACTGATTGATGTAGCCTAATTTGAATTGAGATTTGTAAAAGAACTTACCTGCTGGTCATGGAAGACAACTTCATTGGATTTGATTATGGAAGACAAATTTCTCTCGGGGATTTCATACGCTCTCATAACTCGCAAGCGAAGAGTGTTTCTGGATGTCATACGCTATCACAACTTCCTTGATAGTGTTTATATTGTAGAGGATGTGAAATATATATAGATGTTTAGATATCTTAGTAATTGATTTGATTGACTTAAACTTAGTAATTGATTTTGATTGACGGCTTAATCTTAGTAATTGATTTGATTGGCTTAAACTTAGTAATTAATTTTGATTGGCTTAAACTTAGTATTGGATTGGGCGGAAACTTTTTACAGTATCTCATTTTGCTTTAAAATATATATATATATATATATATATATATATATATATATATATATATATATATATATATATATATATATATATATATATAGAGAGAGAGAGAGAGAGAGAGAGAGTAAGTAATTCAAGAAATTAATATATTATAATCAAAATTAGCAAAAGAGTCGCTTTACTCTTGAGGACATAAATACACCGTCGAACCTTGTAAAATCTTGTGTTCTAGTTTTACTTTATGTTTTGATTTATAGTTTCGTTATGATTTCTCAACATGTGTAGACTTGAAGGATTATCATGCATATTATCAAAATATGATGTTGACTACTACATATATATATATATATATATATATATATATATATATATATATATGCCAAAAAAGTATATTATAGAAAATAAAATAAAATTTTCTTTACTAGCTATAACTTTTAAACAATACCCTCTTCTTTATTTTTAAGGAAAAAAATAGTCCTTTAATTCCAAAAAGAAAAACTAGTATTATCTGGCTTGAAAGATACCTACTTTCTGACCACGTTTTCATTTCGTTGGAAATTATTGGCAATCAATTTATAATTAAAAAATTGAAAATTAATTTTTTTTTTAAATAGTCTTTGGTTCATAGGAAAATATTTTATTAGGAGAATATTTTTCTCAAATTTGAGGAAAAATAAATTTTGCCTTGTTTGGTTGATAAAAAAATTTATTCTAATGGAAAATAAACTACTCTAATTTGAGGAAATGATGGTTTTATTAGTTTGGTTGGGATCAAATGTTTAGCACTACTCCGAAAATTATAGCTAGTAACAGATGCACATCTTAATTTCTTTATGTTGGAATTTTTAATGTAAAATGTATTAATTGTAATTATACTAAGATTAATGTAATTATTAACTTAATTAACATAATAATTATTAGTCAATTATTATACTAATATCTGTACAATTAATTCTTAATTACCATAATAATTATTTGATAATTATACTAAATTGTGCAATTATACTTTTATACCTTCAGTATAAAAAATATGTACATAGAAATTACCACAAAATTACCATATAGTAATTACACAAAAGAATAGGAATGATAATTTATTTTGTTCTCATAGCATTATAGGTTAAGTATATATATATATATATATATATATATATATATATATATATATATATATATATATATATATATATATATATATATATATATATATATATATATATATAGAAGGGATCATGTGCGGGGAGAGGTCCCTGTGCGGTTGTGTGAAGGAACGCACCTTCAGCATTAAAATGGCGCACTTTAATTACACAATACACACACATTAAACACACAAACAAAACACCTTAAGAACACAAATCTCACGCACATTAAGCTCAAAACTCACGCACCTTAAGCACAAAACTCACGCACCTTAAACACAAAACTCATGCACCTTAAGTTTCAACAACTACTCACATTAAGAGCACCAATCTCACGCACATTAAGCACACAACCCAAGCACCTTAAGCACAAAACTCACGCACCTTAAGCACAAAACTCATGCACCTTAAGTTTCAACAACTACTCACATTAAGTACACTCACGCACCTTAATCACAAGACTCACGCACCTTAAGTACAAAACTCACACACATTAATCACCGCACAATTGCACGGGAGATACTCAACCGCACGGGAACTTAATTATATATATATATATATATATATATATATATATATATATATATATATATATATATATATATATATATATATATATATATATATATATATAAGATGAGTTTTGGTGCGGGGTTGCTCTTTGATAAAAAAGGGGTTAGATCTAAGTCATTGATCAAATCTATATCAATGGCTGAAATCAATGAAAATTTAAAAAGAAAATGCGCGTCCTCCATTAATGCTCTCATCTGAGCACCTGAGATGACAAACAACCTAAAGGAATTTATGAAATTGTTTATAAAATTAATAAAAATTCATTTAATTTTATTTTTTTTTAAGAAGGAAAAACAAAGCACCTTAAGAAGGAAAACAACGCACCTTAAGAAGAAAACTCATGCACCTAAAACTATAGACCGGGGCACCTTAAGAATGAAAACAACGCACCTTAAGAAGGAAAACCACGCACTTTAAGAAGGAAAATCACACACCAAAAGGTTTAGGCCGACACACCTTAAGTTTCAAGACCTGACGCACCTAATTAAGCACACAAACCACGTACCATAAGAAGGAAACCCACGCATCTTAAGAAGGAAAACCACTCACCTAAAACTTTATGCCGACATTTAAGTTTTCAACAATTGACGCACCTTAAGCACACAACACAAAACCCACTCACCTTAAGCACAAAAACCACGCACCTTAAGAAGGAAAACCACACACCTTAAATTTGACCTAGATGCAAAAAGACCAAATTGTCACCGCGTTTTTTTTTTAATCATTGTTAATCCTGAACATTGATTAAGCCAAATATGAATGACTCAGGTTTAACTGCACAACCGCACGGGAACCCATATATATATATATATATATATATATATATATATATATATATATATATATATATATATATATATATATATATATATATAGTAAAAGACATTTTTGGTCCTAGATTTATAGTGGCACAGACAATTTTAGTCCTTTATAAAAAAATCAGACAATTTGTGGACACTCTTATTATGACGGGGACAATTTTGATCCTCCGTCACTCTTTCCGTTAGATTCTCCGTTAGGGTGGGGGTATTTGCGTCTTTTCATCATACCTCCTTCTCTTTAGAATCCAACTTCTCAAGCTTCCCTTCTTCCCCCCATTTGCTTCCATCACCTCCTGTCACTGGCAGCAATGGAGTTACACAATTCGCTTTTGATCTCGTGAAATGCTTCCTTAGAATCTCGTTTGTAGCAACACAGATGGCATACACGACGTAGATGGAGAAAAAACCCATTGCAACCCCAACACTGACCTCGCCAAGAATCAGAATTCATAAGCAGAGACAAAATTAAATCACGAAAATGAAGAAACAAACATCCCTTAAGAAGCATTTCTTGTCAATCTGAACACCTTGCTCAGTAACACACAAAGCCACATGCTAACAACAACACAAGTCACAAACATGGCCCATAGTCGGGGGCAACCTCAACAAATTCGAGAGCTTTTAAAGACAACAACAAAAGTAATCTGCAGCAGTATTACCCAACAAGTAGAATAAAGCAACCAACCACACTGCTAATACCACATACCCCACACCACTATACCCGTTCTAATCTTCAGAGCTACAAAGGGGAAGAAATCGTGAGCAATTTTAGATGAACTTGAACCCATATCTGATTTGCTAGCTAATTTAAAACCCAAATTCTTTCAGGCCCTTATCCGCCGTGTCCCAAGTCGGAATCCGATGTGTTTGTCTAGGTCGTCGGCTAGCTTGAAGTTTTCCTGCTGGACGGCCTCGGTGCAAGCCATCAGCGCATGGACAAGCCTAACGCCAGCTTCTTGAGAATCGACTACCATCACCGATCGAGGAGTCTCTGTAGCCACCGCTCCGTCGCCAATCTCCGCCAGCAATTCTCCACCGCTAAAATCAGATCTGGCTGAGGATTTATGTCTTTTATAAGAATCCGAAGACGATGGTTCTTTCCCCTTAGTGTTATTACCGAAAATATCGCTACCTGGAATCGCCCTCAAATCATCATCGTAAATCCTCCTACTACCATTTCAGTTGTGCTTATTGCTGGAAAAGCAGATAATTTGGGAGATTCGCCGGTGAGCATCATCTCATCGACGACGACGGCGCTGCAGGAAGACTGCTGGGAAAGCACATCGAAATTGGGGGACGAAGAGGAGGCGTTAAGCTCGGAGAGCATGCTCTGGATCCAGCCGACGAGATTTGAGAAAAAAAAAAGAGTGCTCGTGAAGAAGACGGGAGCTTCAAGAAAGCAGAGAGAGAGTAATGTTGAAAAGACGCAATTACCCCTCTCAAACGGGGCATCTAACTGGAATTTTAACGGAGAATCAAAATTGTCCTCGTCACAATAAGAGTGTACACAAATTGTCTGATTTTTTTAAAAAGGACTAAAATTGTCCGTGCCACTATAAGTCTAGGACAAAAAATATCTTTTACTCATATATATATATATATATATATATATATATATATATATATATATATATATATATATATATATATATATATATATATATGTATGTATGTATATATATAAAAAAGCCACAAGTCTAGGGATTCACAATAGAGCCAAAAAATCCCGCACAAACAAAACACAGTCGTTTTAGTATTAAATTAAAGAAAAGAATAAAGAATTACAGAAAATATAAAGCCCGCTCAAGATAATGCCCGGCGCTTTATTTAGGTTTTACGCGTGTTGTTGTTTACACTTCCGGTGAAGCGTGGTTAATATCCCTAGCCGGCTTTAACTGATCGAGAATCATTGTTTTTAGTTACGAGGTTAATCATATCTGTTCTACAGATTTCAAATATGATACAAAACATTATAAATAGGATGAGCTCTTTCAAGCAGAGGAAGTTCATATCTCTCAAAACTTCTAGAGATAGAATTTACATAAAATACAAACATCACACGAATATTGCTCCAATTTTATCCTTGCAAGCCAAATCTCTCATTTGAAGACAACGTCTGCTATTGGAACAAGCCTGGTGTGTACCTACGGAGTGGCAGAGAGAAGAGGCAGGTAATCAATCAAATTCAAGGCCGGAGTGTATATTTCATGATGAAGGTATATTTATGTGGCTTTTATTTTATATATATATATAAGACTGTAATAACGTAGTGTACGAGAATAAGCTAATAAGCTAATGGCAGCAATATAATGGCAAAACAATAGAATGATAAAAAAAATATCAATGATAAATAATAGGTGTTTGGTTTACATCTAATACTAATGGTGTTTCCATTATTTTACATAGCATGTTTATATTATTTTATGTATTTTCCAGATATTCATTGTCACCAACATGTCTCAAATGTGTTTGCATTATTCTGCCTTGAGAATAATTTTTAAACCTATATTTTATTTTTATAAATATTTGGATGTAATTGGAATGGTTGTGGAGATATACTCTCCAGAAGAGAAGGTTGTGGTGATATTAAGATTTGAGCAGCTATGATGTTACCCAGATCAACATCAATAGTGATTTCCCAGAGTTTCAAGAATATATAGAGATGTATAATTTTTCCTAACCTGGACAGTAAACATTTGCACAAACGGAAATGTACCATCATCCTATGGGACAGGGAATGCCAAGAATTATTAGGCATGTAAGCAGCAAATCTCAGAAACAAGATCTCGGAGGTAAATCATGTTCATAAATTTGATTTTTTACTACCCATCTATGTAACAATTGAGCTTACAAAACTAAATTTCATTTTTGTAGGGACCCTGTAGAGTACCCCATCAAATAGAGTCTTTGGTTGGACTTGCAATGCTTTTTAGGATTGCTGCTAGAAAAGAACAATTTGACAACCTCCAAATTAGAAATTTGTGTTGTTGGGAAGACTATATTGGACTGGTCACATTTATGTGGTAATGCATAAATGTCTTTAGTGTTCTTGGCTGTGATATAATGGACAATAGTTTCTGCTAGCACTCTTAAGCGTTTTGGTTGTGGTTTCTGTGGACAATTGTGTTCTTGGGCACATAAATATCTTTATACAGTTGCTTTTACCAATTTAAATACCTAGGTCTTTTTTTGGCAGGTATCAATACATAGATATCAAGATCACATGGAAGTTTGACCTGAGCAATAAGCTATTTAGAACACCACTGAGAACAGACCAACTGTAGAGTATTAAATCCAAAGCATTGTTCACCAAAACTAAAGTTGAAGAACAAGCAGTATGTGAAACTATAATAGACAAAATCATGTAGTACGTGTAAGTTTATACAACTGCAATCTCACTATTATGAATCTAGAATGAAGAACGGGCCTCAATTTCAGTACAATTTGCAAAGCATCATAATAAATAATATGAAGAACATATCAGATGATAACCTAGATTTAGATCTAGGAGGTAATCTGAATTAAACCTGTGCATTGACTTATCTGGCCGAGGTAGTTTATCTGTCGATGTTTGAATTAAACCTGTTAATAATCTACCTCATTTTGACTATAAATTCAAAGATATTGTTCCCAAAAACCAATCGTATCGCAAGATTTGTGTAAAAAGACAACATATTGCCCATGCACTGAGTTTGAAGTTTCTAAAATTTCAGCCTCAGAACTACGATTTGACAACCAAGAACCTGCACAATACTCAGATTCAAAGTGAGAGGAAGAAATCTTAAGCTTAGATTCACTCAAACCACGCATCTAAAGAAGGAAAACCACGCACCTAAAGCTTTAGATCGACGCACTTAAAATTTGAACAACTGTCGCACCTTAAGCCACACAGTACAAAAATCACGCAGCTTAAGCACAAAAACTACGCACCTTAAGAAGGAAAACCACGCACCTTAAATTTGACTTAGATGCAAAAAGACTGAATTGCCACAACGCTTTGTTTAATCATTGTTAATCTTGGACGTTGATTTAGGCAAGATCAATGACTCAAATTTAACGGAACAAGCACACGGGAACTGAATTTTATATATATATAATTTATACATTTATATATTTTGGTTAATTGACTTATTCACCACCTATAATCTTAAAATCCATTTCTTTTGTGATAAGTCGATGGCTTCCAGGCCACTTTGGTTGTAAGTGGAATTGTGAATGTTGCTCTCGTAGTGTATATTCAAATGGTCGGAGCGACAATGTTATTGCACGTTTCGAATTAAAATCTCTATAAATTTTGGGTTGACAGATTGGTGGTGACATCCAAGGATATAGTATAACCCTATGGAGCAGATGTATGTAACGATACCAAGTGGTTTACCAGAGACAATAAAGGATCAGGAGTTTCTCCAATCACTGGAACCTTACCATCATTGCTCTCATGAACCAGTTGAGCCTCCAAATCATACGATAACTTAGACCATCGCAAAAAACAATAATTAAGATGCAAGTATTTAATTAATATATAACGTTGTAATATGAGAATATATGGTCATTGTATAGTATCACCTTGTTCCATTGACAGCATTACGTGTTCAGAGGGAGAGTGCCAGTGGCACTGTATGAGTATATCAGGACAAGATTATATTGGAATTGTTCATGCATAGATAATTGAATGTTGAATTTGCGTATTTAAATAGGTAATTATATTCTAAGTTTACAAATGCAAGATAATATAGTCAAGATTGATTATAATTGTCAATAAAATAATTGTATACGTATGGTTGAAACTAAATATGGGAATAAGGGAGAGAAAATAAAAATTACAGCATAAAATATTACATATAAAATATATTAGTATTAAATATAAATTAAATAAATTATAATTACATATTAAAAAGTAAAATCTAATTTTTTATGTGTATATGTCATGTGTATATGTGTATATGTTATATGTGTATATACAGATTTGTATATATATAAATATACATATTTGTTCACCATGGTTAATGTGGTTGATTGGAAATAGTCTTGGTTACTAACTTATAGATTATGGGTTCAATTTTTAAGTAATACAACGATAAATATTTTAATCATGCAAATTAAAAAAAAAAAAAAAAAAGAATAAACGGGCTGGCCCGTTTAGCCCGTCCTACACGGGTTGGGTTGGGAAAATTCCAACCCGTGGAAAAACGAGTCGGCCCGTCCCGCCCCGTTTCCAGTAGAACCTGAGACGGGCCAGCCCATATGGGCCGGGCTGGCCCGTTTTGACAGCTCTACGTCTAAACACTTAATAATAATAATAAGGAATAATGGAAAGGAATCGATAAGAAAAAAAAAAACAAACTCTCCTGCCCATACTACAATTCTACTAGCTCTATTAGATTGTAGTATCTGTTCATATACTTTCTCAACCTACTGAAACACAAAGAGCTAATAACGCCTCCACTAAAGCTCAAACTCACAACCTTCTAAATGGAAGTCCAACCCGGATACCATTGGACCACATAATCCTGGTTACTACAATTCTACTTATTATTTTACAAAAGCTCTAAATAATAATATTGATTGAAATTACATAAATATTTTTCTAACTATATTACAATTGTACATGAAACATGCATCATTATTTCTTCAAATTATAATATAGAAATTGCAATAATTTAGAAAAAAGTTACAGTATAAATACTTTCCTATTCGTAATACAATTTTACTTATTATTTTACAGAATCTCCAAATAATAATATTGATTGAAATTACACTATAATTATTTTCCTAACCTTAATTTAATTGTACATGAAACATGCACCAATATTTCTACAAATAATAATATTGAAATTGCAATAATTTAGATTAATATTACAGTATAAATACTTTCTTATCCGTAATACAATTCTAACTACTTATTATTTTATTGAATCTTCAAATAATAATATTGATTGAAATTACACTATAAATACTTTCCTAACTTTAATACAATTGTACATGAAACATGCATCCTTATTTCTACTAATAATAATCTTGAAATTGCACTATAAATACTCTCTTAATCGTGAACACATTCTTTCATCGATTATTTTCTGTTCTTCTCTAGTTTTTATGCTATTTCTCCTTATTATTGACTAATGGAGTTTGTTTTCGTCTCTGACTCCTTATTGGTAACAAAATGTTATATGAAAATTAACTAATATCTATTAATTGGTAATATTCGTTGGAAATTCTGCGTAATAACGTAATTTTATAAGGAAATAATGATTTATTAATTATTATGTAATTTTATAAGGAACTAATGATTTATTAATTACTATTTACACCAATAATAATAATTCGAATACAGATTTTACACAAACCTATACTATTAATAAAAGTCAAATCATCCCCTTCATTGTTCTCGTCATACCTAATATGAATATTAATTAATCTATATTATTAATAAAAGTTGGTGTTATCGGATTCGGATATGAAATAGTTGCCTCTGGTGGAGTTGGAGAACTTTTCAGAAATGTCAATTCCAGACGAAAGCAACATGGATTTTGATGGAAAACATGCTGATAGTCAAGGTTGCAAAACACGCTAGGCGCCGATTTTTTTAATTTTTTTTTTTTAAATTTAAAATTGTAAAATTTTAATACCTATATATCTAAAATGGTTAAAACTTAAAAGTTAAAACTATTTAAAAGTGTAAATTATATAGTAATAATGTAATATAGTATAGTTAAATAAGTTAATTATTTTTATTCATTTATTCATTTAATCCATATTCCATAGTCCTATTAGTCCACAACTCCATAGTCCAAACTTCATAGTTCATACATTCATACATTGAAATATTGAATCATTGATACAAATCATACAATCATACATTCATAGTTTCATACTACACACTTCATAGTTCATACATTCATACTTCAAGTCATCAAATTTCAAATAGTTCATACACCATAGTTCATACATTCATACTTCAAGACTTCAAGTCATCAAATTTCAAACAAAGACACAAAGTACATGACAATTAACTGAATTAAGTTCAAGTGTTTTAGTGTTTAACAACATATCAAATATTCAAATGCAAGTATTCAACTTTCAAGGTGTTGTTCTTCCACTTGTCCATCTATCACTTGATTTTCATCATCTTCAAACTCAACAACCACTTCTTCTTCTTCTTCAATTTCGGATTCAAAGTTCTCTTCTTCAAGCTCCCTCAATCTAGAACTCCGTCGTGGTCTTAATGCGTCATCACCTTCCTCATTAATAGCCACTTCATCTTCACCAACAACCTCAACTTCATCCTCAACAATCCAATCTTGTGCGAAGGTTGCATCACTACCAAGTAATATTTCAACATTTTGCTCTTTTTTCCTTTTGTTCATCAAGTTTGCATTGAATTGCACAAAGACTAGATTGTTTAGGCGATTAGATTCCAACCTTTTTTTTTTTTTTTTTTTTTTTTTTGTATGTATCTACAAATATGCAAAACAAATGTCAAATATAGAAAAGAAGTAAATAACTAAGTAAAGATTTAAGTATTTAACTAACCCCTTCAAATGTACTCGAATTCCTTTCACAACCCGATGAACTTGAAGTAAGAGATAGAATCTTTATCGCAATTGTTTGCAAGTTTGGAGTTGTCCAACCATAAGTTGACCACCACATTGCTACATCAAAATTGTATAAACAATATTAAGTATAAAAAATCAAAATATATAAAATTTTAAATATTAAAATTCAAAACTAGTATGTAACTCATTTACCCGGATCATATCGCTCATTATTTGTCTCACATCCTTTGACCGCAAATGTCTTCCCAAATACACCATCTTTCCTCTTGTAAATGGGAAATTCATCATTCAATACCTTGTTTTGCATTTCTATATCGCCATGGTAATATGTTTCAAGAAACTCAATACATCCAAGAGAAACATTAAGATCCAAATGAAGTTGAGGATCCTTAAAATGATAATAAGGATTCAACATGAAAGCCATCAAATGAAGAGGAGAATCTAGCCTATTGCTCATCTTTTCTTCGACTATCTTAATAATAGGCTCATAGTTTCTTACCACTTCATTGAATGCCTTCTTAATGTCCTCTTTGGCTTGCATAAGCTCACCATAAACAAATCCCATTGAAGGTTTCTTATCTTGATCAACAATACGAAGCACCTTCACCAACGGTGCAAAAATATTCAAGCATAATGTAACCCCTTGCCAAAATGAAATATTCAAGACAGTAGCATAGGAAGCTTTCCCTTTAACTGTGTTGGCAAACTTACATTCCTCCCATTCATTGCTTGTAAACGTAGCCCTTAATTCAATTTTCTTAGCAAGTAAACTCTGCAAAGTTAGAAATGCAGAAGCAAACCTAGTCACACCTGGCCTAACTATGTCACGTTTCTTTGTATAGGTTCTCATCATTGCCAATGTTTTGTGGTGTGCATAGATAAAGATAGTTAAGCTCTTTGCTTGATCAAGAACTTTTTTAAACCGGGGTAAACCTGCAAAGGATTGAAGTATGAACAATTACAAGATTTAAAGTTAAAGAATAAACTCAATAAAGATTAAAGAATAAAGATTTAAAGATTGAAAGGTACCTGCAATGCTTTCAAGCATTAAATTAATGGAATGAGTTGCACAACATGTCCAAAATAGCCGTGGCCTCTTCTCCTTCAACAATTTAGCCGCTCCCATGTTGTTTGCGGCATTATCTGTGACAATTTGAACAACATTGTCCTCTCCAACTTGTTCAATCCCATGCTCCACATATTCAAATATAAACTGGCTTGTGTGTGCCTCACTTGAACATTCTTTAGAAGATAAAAAAACAGTGCCTAATCTTGAATTTACACACAAGTTCATGACGCTTCTTCTCTTCCTATCTGTCCATGCGTCAGTCATAATTGAGCAACCATTTTGTTTCCACAACGCCTCATGTTCCTTCAAACTGTCTCGGACGCGATCAACCTCTTTTTTCAAATATGGTTCACTCAGTTCATATCTATTTGGTGTCTGCGCTCCTGGACCGAATTGACCGGCAGCTTCAATCATCAACTTGAAGCTATCTTTCTCAAGAACATGAAATGGAACAGCTGCTTCATAAGCCCATCTACATATGTACTCTTTCACTCGGTTAACCCTCTCCTTGTCAAATGCCTCAATTATCCGTTGTTGCGCCGGGCCCCTTCTTGAACTCAAAGAAATTTCAGGATTGATTTGGTTAGCAAACTTATCCATAGGGCCAATTGGACGAGGTGGCCTCATTTGTTCAGACTGTTGCAACTCATCAATATCAATACTATTTGTAGGCGTATTACTCAAACTCTCATGCGAACCAATGTTTACCTCCGCTCTTATATTAAGTTCTTCAGCTCTCTTGTTCATTTTTTTGTTCTTCGCCATAATGAGAGCATCTCTACATTTTATTTGATATTCTTTTGAAGCTATGGGGCATTTGCTAACATTCCCTGAAATACCAGCAATATTAATATGCTCTTTGATCCGATAAACCCCACCAGACATTACTTTCTTGCACAATAAACATTTAATCTTGTCCAACGACTTAGTAGGATCATTAAGTACCCCATAGTCCCAACCTACATCATTGGACTTTCTTTTTATTGTAGTTGACGTTGTAGATGGTTGAGACGATCCAACACTTTGAGTTTGAATTGGTGGTTGAGAAATATCATCATTTTCCAATTCCATTTCCTAATTAATAATAGTATAATACTTAATAGTTAATAAGTTAATAACTTTATAACTTAAATAGCAAATGTGCAATATAAGCATATAGCAATTGAATAGCAAATTAGCAATTGAATAACAATATAGGCATATAGCAATTGAATAGCAAATTAGCAATTGAATAGCAATATAGGCATATAGCAATTGAATAGCAAATTAGCAATATAGCAATTGAATAGCAATATAGCAATTGAACAGCAAATTAGCAATTTTACATTTCTACAAACTACATACACAGAGTCATACAATCATACTCATACATATAATTAATTATATATAAGTATATAAAATTATAAATTATAAAGATTAAAAATAAAAAATTAATAAACTATTCAACTAAAGCCTAAAGGTCTAAAACAGTTGACAGGATAATAGGGCTAGCACCCAACCTGGATCATAAGTGTGCATCTGACCCGACACCGCATTGATGCTCCAACGGTTATAATTCCAACAGGTGTCACATCTAATGTCATTGAAGCCACCATTGATGCCACCATTGATGAGAGAGAGTTAAAGCCTCAACGCCTCATTCATGACTCTTCATATTCCTGCCGTTAGCTCAGCTCCCCGAAGGATATCTCTTCATGTTGTTACCGTTAGGACCTAGCATAAATAGAAGTTCCCTCAGCTGAGCAGGACACACTGTACTTTCTATACTGAGACAAAGGCAATACAACTATTGTTATTCTCTTATTCGTTACTCTTATATTATATTTCCGGTAACATTATTACCGTCATTGGTGCTTTCATTGAGAGCCTGAGTCCAATACTCAAGCAGGCTACAACAAACTTTTTTTCTCTTTCAACAGCAAGCTTGAAAGAATGGCGTTCCGCAGCTCCCACGGTTCTCGCAACATGAACAATGGCAACGCCTCAGGTGACCTCCGTGACCTACTCACCAACAATCGCGGAGGGGACCTCCGAGAACATCTCAACAACGGGAGGCCTGGGGACCTTCGAGATCAACTCAACAATGGAGGAGACCTTCGAGACCAACTCAACAATGGAGGAGACCTCCGAGACCAACCCCACAATGGAGGGGCGAACCAAGTCATGAACCTCCAGGCGACTGCCGATGTCATTCAGCAAGCTGTGACGGCGGCGCTAAACCAGGTGGCGGTGGGACTGCAAGGTCAAGTGCCCCCGCCGCGGCCCCAGGAAATAAGGGTGGAGACCCAAAGAAGTGCACCGGCCAGACGACAACCAGGCCCTTCCCAATCTGCACCAGAACGACTGGGACAAAGGGCGCCCGTGCTGCAAAGATTAGGATCACGGGCCGAGGGATCCTCTACCAGAGGTCCTCGCCAACACGAAAACAGAGAAGCAGAGAGATCACCCACAGAGGAGGTGGGCGAGTCTCGGGAGCCGACCCCACGCCAACACGTTGATGAGTCGGCCTTACGTCGACACTTGGAGGAGCGACGCGTCGAAGAGCCGGCTCCGCGACGGCACTCGGCGGGAAAGCGACGCGTTGATGAACTAGCTCCACGACGACACATGGAGGAGCGGCAGCCGGCCCGGCGCCGGCACCATGACGAGTCGGCCCTGGTCGAGAGGCTGCAGAGAAGAATCGAGGAGTTAGCAAGAAGGGTGGAGGCACGGGAGCAGTCGCCGGAACCCGAGGTACGGATGACAGCACCATTCTCCCCAAGCATCATGGACGTACCTTTGCCGAGGGACTTTAGGTTGCCCGCTATCAAGGAGTACACGGGGGCCACTGACCCACGTGTCCACATGACGAGGTACAAGGCTGCTATGGTAATGATCGGGGCAGGGGACGCCATCATGTGCCGAGCGTTCTTGTCCACCCTGGATGGAGCGGCCCAAGACTGGTTCAACACCATCCCAGATGGGTCGATCCAAAACTTTGGGGAGTTGTCCAAGAGCTTCCTAACATACTTCTCCGATAACATACAGCGTAAGAAACCCTTCTCTCACCTCTGTGTAGTGAAGCAAGATAGAGGCGAGAGCCTAAAAAACTTCCTGATCAAATGGAAAAAGGAAGTCAATAATGTCTACGACTTCGACTCTAAGGCGGCGATCCCAATATTTATCCATGCCTTAAGATCAGGGTATTTCCACAAGCAGCTGAATGCCCACCACCCCTGTTCTTACGAAGATTTGATGAGGACGGCTAGCCGCTATGCCAAGGCAGAGGACGTCGACAGGAAAAAGAAAGATGAGGAGGACGACAGGAAAAACGGGAAACCTGGGAAAGCTGGTCCGCCCAGCCAGACACCACTCTCGAACCACCCGACCGCAGGGAAGGGCCGAGACTACAAACGACCTTGCCTGGTCCCCTTGCGTAATTTAACTCCTCTTACCCATCCCGTTAGTGTCATTCTAAAGCAAGCTGAGGAGATGGGAATGGTAGAATTCCCCGAGGAGTGCATGAAGGTCTCCCCAAAGGCAGACCAAACAAAGTACTGCAGGTTTCATAGGCATGCCGGACACGATACGGATGAGTGTCACGTTTTGAAGAGACAAATAGAAGACCTCATCCAGCAGGGCTACTTCCGACATTTCGTCAAGCGATCCAAGCAGCAGCAACAGCCGCAACACAATCCACCAAAAAATGTCTGGATGAATGAGGATGGCACCGAGCCGTCCACCTCAAACGCCAAAAAAAGAGACCACGAACAAATATCTGAGCAGAGTGATAGCGAGAAAGAAATCGAGGTGGCGCCCAGACGACAAAAGAAGCACACCATACACTTTATCTATGGTGGACCCGCAGGGGGCGACACGCCCGCAGAAAGAAAGAAGTGGAGCCGACAGATATACGTGGGAGAAGTGGCGAGTCTTCCTAGAGAAAAGAAACAGAGACAGGAGGCCATCAGCTTCTTTAATGATGACCTCCCAGAGGGCCCGCTACCCCATCGTGACGCCCTGGTGATTGAGATGGACGTCAACGATGTCATTATCCGCCGCATCTTAGTCGACACGGGAAGCTCAGTCAATGTGATGTATTACGATGCCTTCACCAAGTTGGGGATACCTAGGAACCAGTTCAAAGAAGTACGTAACCCACTCTCTGGATTTACGGGTGATTCAGTGGAGACGGAGGGGTCGGTGGCCTTACCAGTGGAGATAGGCACGAGCCCTAACATTTGCAAACTTGACATGGAATTCATCGTGGTAAGACTCACTTGTGCGCACAACATCATTTTGGGGAGGCCGGCACAGGAGGACCTCAAGGCCATAGTGTCGGTGGAACACTTGTGTATGAAGTTCCCTACTCCGAATGGGATAGGGGTCGTCAGAGGAAACCAGCGAGCAGCCCGCAGTTGTTACGTAAAAGCATGCAAAAAGATTGGCGGAAAGAATCCACAAGTCCACACCATTTGCAAGGATGATGGATCGGGTAAGGAACTCAGAAAATTTAATTAGATATTATCAGTAATACGATGTAGTCGTGGCCCGCCCAGACCTGTAAACAGTATTTAGTAATCATGGTCCGCCCAGGTTACTTCGCTCTCAAATAAAAAGGTTTTCAGAACCACATTCAATCAACCACGGCCGTCACTACACTCTAAAAAAAAAAAAAAAAAAAAAGGCCGAGGCGCGGTGCCTCGGCTATCGGCTGAGGCCGAGGCGCGGCGCCTCGATAAAAAATAAATAAATAAATAAATAAATAAATAAGGGGGCCGGGCAGCGTCTCAGCCACTCCT